TTTTTAGTTGGTCAATTAATTTATTTCTATTTTTGGTAGAGACGGGGTCTCGCTCAGGCTGGTTTCGAACTCCTGACCTTGAGCAATCCGCCCGCCTCAGCCTCCCAAAGTGCTAGGATTACAGGCGTGAGCCACCACGCCCGGCTCTATGTGGTTCTTAAGCAGGAGAATGGTGAGATCATCCTGGGATGGAGGAGGCCAAGGGAGGGGGTGGCCACAAGGCCACTGAGATCACTGCAGTGAGGGGTGACGGAGGAGCTGAGCCAGAGTTAGGAAGGTAAGAAGGGGGCTGACCAACAGATGTAGAGGAGGAAGATGCCACAGGACTTGGTGACTGAGCTGGGACAAGCTGCTCTTATAGTACCGGGCCATCCAAGACCCAGTCTGCCTAACAAATTCAGGTCGCTAATGGGGGCGGGGGGGGGGGAGGCAAGCAGAAAGGCTTCAAATGTTGCCACCATTCTCAAGATGATTTGATGGCAGGGGTACCTCTCAAAGAGAACGAGGCCAGGGGTAGCAAGACATGACACTAAGCAAACTGAAGCACCTGTCCATAGAACTGCCCCTCCCCTTTGGGTCCCTTCAAACTTTAACAAAACACCTTATGCAACAGCTCCCCGGGGGTGGGCCCACGTGACAGCACATAGTACAGGCAGAATCTGCTATGGGAGAAACAAATTTGTGGAAACCCCATGAATGCTACAAATAAACCAAAATCTAGAAGCTAAATTTTTTTTTTTTTTTTTTTTTGAGACAGAGTCTCGGTTTGTTGTCCAGGCTAGAGTGAGTGCCAGTGGCGTCAGCCTAGCTCACAGAACCTCAAACTCCTGGCTCGAGCGATCCTTCTGCCTCAGCCTCCCGAGTAGCTGGGACTACAGGCATGCCCACCATGCCGGCTAATTTTTTATATATATATAGTTGGCCAATTAATTTCTTTCTATTATAGTAGAGACGGGGTCTCGCTCTTGCTCAGGCTGGTTTGAACTCCTGACCTGAACAATCCGCCCGCCTCGGCCTCCCAAGAGCTAGGATTACAGGCGTGAGCCACCGCGCCCGGCCTAGAAGCTAAATTTTTGATGGAAGATTTCCCTTTCAACCTAAAGGAAATACGTGTAGTTGGGCTGAATAAATAATACTTAATAGGAAAAAGTGAAAGTCAGTAGACTTGACAGTTAACAAAAGCAATTCTGGGGCCCAGTATAAACAGGTTCCAATATGGGGACCTTTCTCTAAACTTGAGTATAATGGGAAATACAGGGTATAAGATGACAGGAAAGTCTGTTCGCAAATTCTAAAATAACCAAGATCCCACCACCCCACAGAGAAAAGGCAAGGGTAAAAGATTCTTAAGATTTTGGAGTGTGAAAGTATCATCACCAAACAGGACCTTACAAATATCCCTGCGGGAGCAGCTGGCCAGACAGGTGGGGAAGGGAAGGTGGGGAATCTGTAGTCGGCTTTCAAACAACTCCTGGTATTCAATAATCCTATTCCTCCTGCAGGACGAAGAACCAGACTAGTCATATAAAACCCCACATCAGAAAGCAGCAATGACCCTAGGCACTGGAGGGACAGTGACTGGGAAGAACCTAGAGTCTGTCAGGCCCTGGTATGTCAGGGATGGCAGAAGATGGAGGAACTGCACAGAAGGCAAAGGAAGACTTTGTTTGGGTCACTTTAAACTATGAACAAGTTAAACATGTTTAAATTTCTAAAAACCAAAAACATATATTTAGGTCTGTAAGAGGCATGACTAAAAACCCAAGATTTTCTTTTACGCCCCACTCACACATCTCTTGTACTCTTGGCTCCAAAAATCTGGGAAAGCAGCATTTGGAAAATCTGGGAAAACAGACATACCGTTTTGTGTTTTTTTTTTTATTTTTTTTTTATTTTGGCATATTATGGGGGTACAGATTTTAAGGTTTCAATAAATGCCCATTTCCCCCCTCCCCCCAAAAGTCTGAGTCTCCATCATGACCATCCCCCAGATGGTGCACATCTCACTCATTATGTATGTATATACCCGCCCCCCTCCCCCCTCCCACCTGCCCAATACCCTATTACTGTAGTACCTATGTGTCCACTTAGGTGCTACTCAGTTAATACCAGTTTGCTGGAGAATATATCTGGTGCTTGTTTTTCCATTCTTGGGATACTTCACTTAGTAGTATGGGTTCCAGCTCTAACCAGGAAAATATAAGATGTGCTATGTTACCATTGTTTCTTAGAGCTGAATAGTACTCCATGGTATACATATACCACATTTTATTAATCCATTCTTGGATTGATGGGCACTTGGGCTGTTTCCACAGCCTTGCGATTATGAATTGTGCTGCTATAAACATTCGAGTGCAGGTGTCTTTTTTGTAGAGTGTCACTGGATCATTTGGGTAGATGCCCAGCAATGGGATTGCTGGATCAAATGGTAGATTCACTTGTATCGCTTTAAGGTATCTCCATATTGCTTTCCACAGAGGTTGAACTAGTTTGCAGTCCCACCAGCAGTGTAGGAGTGTTCCTCTCTCTCCGCAACCACGCCAGCATTTATTGTTTGGAGATTTTTTGATAGAGGCCGACATACCGGTTTTTAATCAAACATGGAGTCTGTGCCTGGGGATAAAGCAATAAGCACCACGGACACTGTCCATCCTTCCAGAAAATGCTCCTAATCTTATTTTTAAAAACAGAGAAGTAATCTTTCATCAACATAATTATTTTCATAGTTTTTCTTCTGAATTTATTCTATGTTGGACATGAGGGCAGGGTGTTATGAGACATTTTAGAAGATCGTGCGTGTGCGTGTGTGTGTGTCTTCCCTGGGGAGAAATGTTTCTGCCGTGGTCTGGGTAGGAATGAGAGTGGGATGGGGGAGGCGGTGTCCCCGGAGCAGGGACAGCAGGCACCGACAGAGCTCCAAGTGCAGTGTGGCTCAAGGGTCCGGCCCAGGAGGGCTCAATACACTGAGAGTTCTGGAAAAGGAAGCCGTCCATGCGCAGGGGGCTGGAATTTTATGCTAAGGATAAGAAAGAGCAAAGGAAGGGGTGGTTTAAAGTGGAACTGGATTTCGGAGGAACCTCTCTCAAGGCAGGGCTGGTTAGGAGGCTGCTGTGGAGACCCAGGTGAGCGATGACGGTGGCACCAGGGAGTCCACACACCTGGACAGGGTGCAGAGTCGTCTCAGCCACCTCAGAGAGGCCTCACAAATTGTGACAGGAGCCATTCTGAGGGGCAGGGTGGGAACACATGATAGGCTGCAAAGGCATTTTGCCTCATTTACCACCTCCAGGCCCGACTGCCTGAGTGTGAACCCAGCTCTGCCCACTAGAGCTTCTCAACCTCTCTGTGCCTCAACAGCCCCTTTTATAAAATGGGGATAGGAATGGTACCAAACTCGCAGGGCTACAGTGAAAACTAAATTAGTTAATATATATAACATGTCAACCACAGGTGGAGGATAAAGTGAGTTAGTAAAGCATTTATCTCTTTCTGTCCTATCTGTCTTTTGTAGCATGTGGATTCATCTGCAGGGGGTAAGAAGTAGATTTAGTATGAACAAAAGAATATAAAGTAACTCATTAATAATTTACTTTATATAGTTCGAAGCTGTTATTAGGTACATAAGGGTCTAGAAATGGAAACTTTCTGGGAAATTGAAACTTTGATCCACCTGTTTCTTTTTAATTTTTTAAATGTTGCTACTAGGAAATTTAAAATTATATGTGCAGGTCAGGTTGTATTTCCATTGGACAGTGCTGATCCAGAGGAAGGATAAGCAAAAACCCCACACCGGTCACCAAGTCCTGGGTGACTAAGAACCTGACTGCAGAGAATGACAAGGAAACCTCTCTTCTGCTCGAGTCTAGATAAGAAACGAGAAAGAGATGTTTGTGAAAAACAGAAAGGGGTGAAGAACAAGACAAAAGAGGATGAAGCAGCATAGGCCAGAGAAGAAGCCCTACATGTCTAATAGAAAAACCACCCCTGCTCAGAACTCAATACACATAGCCTTTAATTATGAAAAAGACACATGGTCTTAAAAACAGCCTTAACATCCAAAAGACGAAAGTATTATTCCATCAAAGTAGACCTTTTTGTAACCTAAGTTGTTATTTTTATCAAGCCTATCCAATACTATCACATGATACTTAACTATTATAATTCTAGATGTTAAAAATTGAAGGAAAGAATTCATGGGTATAGGAGTGGGCAAACCATCCAATAACTTAAACTTGGCTATTTTTCCATGCTGTACAAGAGAATAAAAATGTCTTATATGACCTCAAGAGCCCAAACAAGAAATGGGATTTCCCTCTAAGTCCTGCAGAATTCTTAAACAGAAATGCAGAGACACAGGGAAAGCAGGGCAGAGAAGCAGACACAAAATACAGAAAGTACAATGTTATAGAGCTCAGAGAAGAGAGGTTTGTTTGCAGCAAGAAGGTTGGGAGCTGAGATCAAGTCAAGACTTTTGGCTAAAGTAACTCTTCCTTCAGGATTCCCCACAGCTCAGCCTGCCCTGCTGCCTGACCCGCCAGGACACTGGGGCCTGCAGGTGACCACACTGAGACCATACATTGCACAGCCAGGCAGAAACTGATCCTGACTGCTAAAACGACTCCTGCCTCCATCTCTTCAGAACTGTCGTCCACATCAGCTAGTAGTAAGGAACTGCCAATGTCATTCTTCTAAATCTGGAATAAAATAGCTTTGCCTGTGTCTGCCCAATCTGAGCCACACACACACCCATAACTCAATAATCCCTCTCCCAGGTACAGACCCATCAGAAATGCATACACACATGTACCAAGGCCAGGCAGTAGAGTGGTCATAGCAGCACTATTTGTAACAGCCAAGTGCTAGAAACTGCCCAAATGTCCAGTGACAATCCATGGATAAATATGGGGTCAATTCACCCAATGGTCACTATCAGCAATGAGAATGAACACACTATAACCACAGGCAGCATCATGAGTGACTCTCAGAAACCTTACACTTACAGGAAGAAGACAAATTCCATCTATGGACGGTACAAGTGCAGGAGGTCAGTACAGGGGTGGTCCTGGGGAGGCAGTGACTGAGGGGAGCGCATGGTGAGCTCCTGGAGTCCTGCCGAGTCCTGTTTCTTGATCTGAGTACCGAGTGCAAGGCCATGTTCCATTTGGAAAATTCATTGTGCAGTACAATCATGGTACGTCTACTTTTCTAGTATCTTAAAAAATAACTTTGTCTGATATCCAGGTAAGACAAGCCTGGTAGTGTCCTTAAACCCCTCTAAGCTCATTTTTCTGCTGCTCCCTTAAGCATTTCACTTGCTTTCTCCTCTGCACGTGTCCTTAATCTGGGTCTCTCTCCCAGGAGAACCTGCGTGTCACCATATTTATGGTTTCCTCCCACACCAGGCGCCTGTGGTTCACCCCGCCCCCCACCCCTTGGATGCCTTTGCTAACTTACACCACCCACACTGATCCAGCCCTTGCTTTCCCTTCCTCAGCAGTTTGGGAGTTTGTAGCATCATTAACGTGGCATATTCCCACTTGTTTTATTTCTGCCAAAGCTTCCCAGCTAGACTAAAAACACGGAGCATGTCCTCTGGGAGCAATCTCAATCCTCCATTGTGTTCACAGGCAGTACAGATTGAATTGCTCCTCAGGAGCTAGAAGGGTGTGTAGAATGAGCCTTCCTGTTCTCCCAGGAACTGCTGGCTCCAAGACGCACATCTCTGTCCCACAGCACCTGGGATGGACTCCCACAGAGGACCCCCCCCAACCACTTTTCATTGCCTGTCCACTTCGCAAGAACCAACCTGCTAGATAAACTCACCTTACTGTTGCAAACAGCCCAGCAAGGGAAGAAGGCAAGAATTGGAGGAGGCAAAACAAAGAACAAAGAGTTTGTTCCTATTCTGCCTTCAATAGTGCCTTAAAATTCACCACCAATTAATTTTGATAACAGGGAACAATTTGCAGTTTGTGCCAAAATTATAATTTTCAAAATAGTCATAAACGCAAGCTTTTAGGATTTATGCTGGCCAGCCCTCTCTCCCTTTCTCTTTTCTATAAATAAGCCCCTTCAAGCCTTCCTATCTCACCCATTTCTTTTCTTGATTAAAGGAAGAAACACTAATCACAAACAAGAATATCCAAGGGTCATTTCATCTTACTGAAACAGCAGAATCCATATAACGGACATACATGTCAAAAGACCGAGAACATTCTGAATATAGTGCTCTTGCAGTTCATATTAGTCTCTCCCTGTCCAAGCAATGTCACACTCCTCTGAGCTGTCAAGCTTTCAGGATTACACAAAGTGAAACCACAACCTGTCCTGACCATATTTGAGTCTGTTCTCTTCATTCAGCAGAAACAGATTCCTCTTTCACAGTTTCAGTACGGTGTATCCCTCCATAGGAGAGGATTAGCAGTCATAAACCAAGGGGAGGGCTCCGCTAAACACCAGAGGGCAGGAGATAAACCTCCTTCCTCTTGGAGACCCCAAAACCCAGCACGGCCCTGGGCGCAAAGAGGACCTGGCAACGCATGGTGCCAGATGAAGTGCAGCACATAAAACCATTTTCCCTTCTAATGACACTTAATTAAGCGCCAGCTATATGTGTTGATTTATGTGTGTGTATATTTCGTTTTTCTTCTCAGTTAGCTATTGTTTCTGCCGTTCTTTCTTTATTCATGTTTTTTTTTTTTTATGATAAAAAAAAACCCACAAAAAAACCGGGGCCTGGAAGGGACCCTGGCCATCAGCAGGTTAAGCCTCCCAGGACAGACCGGGAGACCAAGCCCACAGGGGGATCAGTGTCTGCCAAGGTCACCCAGCTGGTGTGGGATAAGGGCAGGAACCCTCCTCTCTTTATTAGCTGGGCTCCCCAGCAATGTTTTCTGAAAACCGTGCGTTACTTACACACGAAAGGCGCTTAATGAATGCACGCCCGTGTCCAGGCACTCACTGCTCACAATTCCGAAGAAACCAAAAGGTCTCCGAAACGCGTCTGCCCCGCAGGGCTGGCTGCAGAGAAGGGGCGGGGAAGGTCACTGGCTGATTTCGACCGCCACACAGCACACCACGCCTTCCGATGGATGCGAGGAGCGGCCGCGGGAGCTGCGAGTAACCCCGCAGAGGGTCCCCGAAGCCCGTCCGGGGAAATGAGTTAACTCGGCTCGGCTGGCTCAGAAGCTTCCAGCAATGAATTAAACCCAAGCCGCTGCGGAAAGCGGCCGGGAAAAGGGCCACTGCGGCGGGACCCGACACCCGGCCTTTCGCCCCCGCCCCTCAGCTGCGTCCACACCTGCTCGGGCCGCGGCGCCCCCACCGGGTCTACGCGGCCCGGGGCCACGACCCTTCCTCCGCGCCCCAGCCCTGCGCGTCTGGGGGCGCCGTGCCCGGCGCTGTCCGCAGGGGCTGGGGCGGAGCCGGGCGCGGCCAGGCGGGGCAGGGACGGGTCGCCGCCGCAGCCCCCAGCCCGCGGCCCGCTACGCCGAGGAGGGGGCTGCGCCACGTACCTCCGCCAGCAGGTGCCGCCGCCGCCTCGGGCCGCGGCTGCAGAGGACGCCGCTCCACGCTGCCCGCCGCCGTCCTCCGCATACTAGGGAGGGGGCGGCGGCCCGCAGCCAGCCCCGGGCTCCGCGCCCCCGCCCGCCCCCGGCGCCGCGCTCCTGCCCATTCAGCCCGGCGCAGTCCGCTCCCCCGCGCGGACGCGGAGGAGGGGTGGGGGCGGGGCCTGACGTCAGGAGGACGCGGGCGGCCAATCGGAGCGCGCGAGGCCCCCGCGGCGCCCCCGCCCCCAGGGCACGCGGCCCCTCCGCCCCGCGGTGCAGGGGAGCGGGGCGACTGCTGCGGGGACGCACTCCGGCCGGGGGGCCGGACTGGGGCGGGTCCTCATTTGATTACAGAGAGAGGCAGTGTCGTACAGTTTTTAAAAGCATAAATATTTGGTGAATCTCAAAATTCAGGAATTAAAAATAGTTAAAACACTGCTATGTTAAAACACAGCTGAGAGTATTTTGTGCGCATGCAATTCTCTTGTGATTTAGGACTTGACGACTCTTTAGTGAAAGCCAGCTGAGTTGGTCTGTTTTCAGAGCTTCCTTTCAGAAAGACGCAGTAGCACCCTTCTCAGTTTGAAATGGAAAATCCTAGACCCTGAGCCAAATATATTTGCATAAACCGACAGTTTCGTCTCTCTTTTTTGCAACAGCTTGCACAAGACAGCTGGTTTGGAGATGTCTCTGTTCTTCGCAGGGTAGGGGCAGCGGTGCTGTAAAAAAAAAAGTGCTACCTGGGTAATCAAAGTCAGGAGCGAAAGCTTTGGAAAGGAAAGACTGGCAGGACTCTGCTTTCACATCTCCTAAAGGGATTTTATTCAAAAAATTTTTTTTTCCTGGATTATTCTAAGTTGACGACACTGGGAGCATTCTGAAAATATTGAAGGAAAAGTGGTGACTGGGCGGTCTAAATCCAGTGGGTCGGCCAAGGGTAGCCAGGCAGAGCAGCTGCCTATGTCAGTGACAGCTGTGAGGAGACTGCTGACCACCTCACGCTCTTACTCTGGGAGACCAGCCCGAGGCCTGCCTGCTTGATCCAACACTCTTTCCCTCTCTTTGCCTCCCCTGCTCTCCCCCTTCTCTCCCAGATACTCCTTGCCGATAGAGCCAGGCCTTGATAGCATTATGGCTGCCATAGAGCGGTACCCCCGCTTGGAAGGGCAGGTGTAACGTGAGGGTGAGGAAGAAAGGGAACCTGAGGCTTCCTCCTGTCTCAGCCTCACAGGACATCTGTTAAGCAACCACTACCTCATTCACCCCACCCACATTTGGTGGGGGAAGAGGTTGACTCACTTGTACAGCAAGCTGAGTCCTACCTCCAACCTGCCTTTTCACCAGCCACAGAGCCATCCTTACCTACTGTTCTGGTTTAAAACAGAGATCAACAAACTGTAGACTGGGATCAGCTTCTAACTCTCAAAGTCTTACTGGTATCTCTCCAAGTCAGTGGCTGGTCTCAGAGAAGCTTCTGGACGCTGACTAGTAAAAAGTCAATCAGGCTGCTTGTAACACAAGTAGTACTTTACTTTTACAGATTATTTCGGTCGTTCTCATAGCAGGCGTTGTGGTTGCTCCCAACATCCATCCACCCTCCCCCTTTGTGATGCAACTTTTAAAATTTATTTATTTATTTACATATTTAGACAGATTCTTGCTCTGTCACCCTGGCAAGAGTGCAGTGGTGTCATCATAGTTCACTGCAACCTCAAACTCCTGGACTCAAGCAATCCTCCTGCCCTCAGTCTCCTGAGTAGCCAGGACTGTAGGTATGTACCACCAGACCCGGCTAATTTTTCTATTTTTGTAGAGACAATGTCTTGCTCTTGTTCGGGCTAGTCTGGAACTCCTCAGGTCAAGTGACCCTCCTGTCTCCACCTCCCAGAGTGCTAGGATTACAGGTTTGAGCCACTGTGCCTGGCCATGCAATGCAACTCTTAGCCTAAAGTTTAGGTAAGTTTGCTCCACTCTCAGCTCTATGAGTGGGGTCTGGTCTAAGCCAGGGGTTCTCAAAATATGGTCCAAGGACCCCTGGGAACCTCTGAGAATCTGTCAAGAAATCTTTGAAGTCAAAAGTATCTCACAGTAATTTAAGATACTATTTACCTTTCTCACTGTGCAAAAGCAAAGGTGGGCAAAATGGCTGGCACCCTCACAAATCAAAGCAATGACACTGAAATTATTACCATGTTTCCCCCAAAATAAGACCTACCCATAAAATAAGCCCTAGCAGGATTTCTAAGGATTTGTGCAATATAAGCCCTACCCTGAAAATAAGACCTAGTGATGGGTGTGGCTACGCAGCATATCTGCACAACCTATGCATTTCGTTGCAGAGCCGTAAAGAAGATGAGCAGCCCTTCTCATCTGCCCCATGAGAGCTCTATTGCTCGACATGAGAGATTGGGGCCAATGGTTCTAAAGGAAATAGAGTCACAAGGAATTCAGAATGGAATTCGGGGTTTGGAGAGTTATGATGACGTTCCAGAAGAAGACGACTTAACTATATTTAAATAACTGTAGATTGTTGTACCGTACTTAAAAAAAATAACACATCCCCTGAAAATAAGCCCTAGGTGTCTTCTTGAGGAAAACTAAATATAAGACCCTGTCTTATTTTCAGGGAAACATGGTAAAATCTCTACCCTTGAGTACGTATCTTTTAAATATTATGTATGACAAAAGGTAAAATACACATAAAATACTTGCTATAAACTGATATAAGATGGTCATCTAAGTAAGATGGTTTTCTAAGAAAAAGCACTTATGTAATTGTTTGAATTGCAAGCTGAACTAGCTATTTTTCTTCATGGAACACCATTTTGACTTGAGAAAATGTCTGATAAACTATGATTATTCTGACTTGAGTATTTGTAGGTATCTTGAAAATGAACTAAGTGAGCCTGTGTCTTCAAGGAAAACAATTATTTGTTGCCAATGATGAAAAAAATGCAACTTTCAAGAGAAATTTAGAATTTTGGAAAACATGCATCACCATGAGCTTGACAACTTCTCAATATTTAAGAACTTTTCTAATGAGATCAATGGTTTTTATTAAAGAATATGATTTTTGGATACTATACAATGTATAACATACTAATAGCTGGAAAACCTACATTCAATCTGTGAATCATTGCTTTCCAAATGGTCCATTGATTTTAATGCATAATGTTGCAAAATCATACATGAGTAAAGATCCATGTAAGGCCCAAGGCAGACATTGGGTTACAATTAAAAGTAAGTATGAAAAGTTTATAGATAAGATTTCAGATTCCACAGTGTAACAAACATTTAAGAAACTACCTCTTATAGAGTTTTGGTATAGTATCAAAGATGAATATGCACAATTAGGTTATTAATCCACAAAAGATTATTAAAATACTCATCCCTTTCTAATTATTTATTTTCACTACACATCCAATATGTATTTCCAATGCATATCAATGTGAGGCCAGGTTTTCTTCATATACTTCAACTGAAATATTTATACTTTACAACAGATGTGAAAATACAGCTGTCTTCTATTAAGCCAGACTTAAAAAGAGACTTGCAAAAATATTTAAAAAGAAGAAAGCCATTCTTCTCACTAATCTTTTTATTTTGGAAAAGTTAATTTTTATTAATATATCATGTAAACATGTAATGGATTTATTATTTTTAATGAATTAATAAAAAAAATTTATTTTGAGACAGAGTCTCGCTTTGTTGCCCAGGCTAGAGTGAGTGCCGTGGTGTCAGCCTAGCTCACAGCAACCTCAAACTCCTGGGCTCAAGCAATCCTGCTGCCTCAGCCTCCCGAGTGGCTGGGACTACAGGTATGTGCCACCATGCCCAGCTAATTTTTTCTATATATGTTAGTTGGCCAATTAATTTCTTTCTATTTACAGTAGAGATAGGGGTCTCACTCTTGCTCAGGCTGGTTTTGAACTCCTAACCTTGAGCAATCCGTCCACCTCAGCCTCCCAGAGTCCTAGGATTACAGGCGTGA